ATAATAATAATAATAATTATTATTATTATAAAATAGCAATAGTAATTATTATTATTATTATTATTATTATCATCATCATCATCATCATCATTATCATCATCATCATCATCATCATCATCATCATCATCATCATCATCATCAATCAATCATTATTCTTTTATAACGATGGAATTATAATCGATTGTGCTTTCCACTAACCTTCATATGAATTATTCCGTCCTGTCGAGTATTGTTTGATTGTCGCCATGACAACTGTCAAATTTCCAGTATTCTATTGGTCAACCAAATGTAATAATATTTTTCTGGAACACGCAATGATTGAAACCCCATATATATCTTATTATTTCGTGTTGTATTTGATTAGGTCTACATGTAATTCATAACATTAATTACGCTCCCGTTGACACTGGAATCGATTGTGGATATCATCTTCGTACTTGGCCCATTCGGAGTCTTTCAAATGTTTGTACTGGATGGCCATGCATACAAAATAGCTTAAGGTTCCGAATCCATCGAATAAACATAATCCTTTGTCTTGCCCAATAATAAACAACCAGTGAGCTATAAGAAAAGCCTTGGTTGTAAAGATCATAGAAGGAACGAGATCGGGCCTACCTAAAAGCTGATAATGCACTTGCCTCTCGAGGTACTCGATTTGTGCAGCAAGACACCCTGGGCGCATGGAATGTGTAAAGACAAAAAATAAACTTGTGATTTACATAGAAATGATTGTAAGTAGGCTTATTTCATTTTTGTGATCCCCCGGGCGTGCCTCAGAAACCTTGTTCCGGTGTCTTGAGTTGGCAACTTAAAGTTGCAGCATGGTTGAGTGTATTTGTTGACAGATAAGGTAATAGTTTGACGGTGACGATCAAATCGGTGTTGTTCGTCACAGGTTATATTGTGTGGAATCGTCATAATTATTATGTGGAATGAAAAGACAGGTCTAAATTAGTTTAAATATTGGTTTTCCCGATTGCAAAAAAATTGAATCGCCTGATGATAGACCTAATGGTGATTAACAGCAAAGGTAATGTGTAATGACATTAGTAAGGCAATAGCAATATGTAGGTCCACGATCATAACAATTAGCTTAACTGACCATAGAAAACGGCTGTTTATGTATTGGTTAATGGTTAATTTTGAAAGCGCAAAATACAAAAATCTCTACACTGTAAAAACAAGTGTAGAGGCAGGTGTTTGTTTGACAATGTGACAGAATAAAAAAAATACCGGGCATCATCATGTTTGCAATATAAGAATTAGGCCTAGATAAGCCTTACCATATCTTTCAAATTCCATTTAATTGTTATAGGTATTTTTCCGGTTGTATATTTTCTATTTACAATGTACCGTGTTCTGCTATACTAAGTCAATATAAATAACTTATACAGCAAACAACAGGTGTACACAGTATTTCCCCAGCGGTTCCAGTGTTCAGTTCAATCACCAGTGGTCGTGCCAGAGGGGACAAGAAGGAAGTCCTTCGAGGAAAGACAATTCCGATTTACTTGTCCGACCGTCCTGCGTTCTTATTTCCTCATTCATATATAGAGGATTGTAAAGCCAAGGAGACACTAGTCCCAATAGCCCTAAACTTCAAGCAAGAAAAAAAACAAAAAACAAAAACAACATTCAAACTGCACACACCGTCCCTGAAGCACACATACACCCCCCCCCCCACACACACACACACCCACGCACACCCCTACCCAGACACCCACACACATACAATGTACACACCCTGCAGTCAGGGAGATGTATGTGCAATAGCATGTTTTGGTATTACTAAAGTAAAAGTGGCAGATCCAGAAATTCGAAATATGGGGGACCAGGGAGGGATTTTACAGATAGAGGGCCCGCCCCACCTGAGCCAAAATGGGGCTGAGGTAAAAAACAATTATCATGGCACCTCCAGATGTCCGGAAATGGCACTCTCAGACTTAAATTTTGATATAAAAGTATCTGTTTTCCATTTTTAGAAATTATTTTGAAACATTTTTTCGGGGGAAGGGGTGGGGGTGCAGGCCGGCTGCTCCTCCTTTGGTCCACCACTGAGTACATACAGTTATGGTTTATTTGATTATATATTTAGTTTTTTATTTGAGTACCGTAAAATAAGAACATTACTAAAAGCAAAAGAGAGAATATAATTCTCGACAAAAAACATTCTAATTTATGGAACTCGCCACTCCAGTTGACTTTTTTCCTCAATCACCAAGGACGGATCCAGTAGGGGCACGGGGTAGGGGGGGGGGTTACTCACTTACCCATTCTGAGATTGTTGTGCCTCCCTTCCCCCTCCCGTTTGAAAAATTCTGGATCCTCCCCTGCTTACGTCTTTTTTTAAAGGAATATTAATTTATTTCTGCACCCAGGGAAAAAAGGAAGGCCATCCAATGATGGTGCATTATCAAGTGTGTCTTATCGTAGGCCTGGCCTATGACTTTTCCCATAGTAAAGTTCATATTTTACATATTACATTACTACCATGGAAAAAACACACAATTAATTATATGTAAACAATTGCGTCGAAAATCCATGTTAATCATTCCTTTAAATTATAAATCACGCCTTACCCGCACTACTGTACCCGCACTACGATACTTTTTTTTTGTTCTAAAACGTGCTGTGTGTTCTGTGTTCCCTTCGTTTGCTTTGCAAGAGAGACATTGAAAAGTTCACATTAATGACTAATAAATAACAGGTATGCCAAAGTTTTTTTTTCACTGAAAGTAAAAAACTGTTTTAAAGAATGACGAAATGTCTTGAAACATGGCCGTGCTCCATGGAAACGAGGCTCTGAGTATTGATACTTTCAAAATCCGGATCTTTGATTTAATTTATTCATTTCATTTATAGGCCTAACCAGTAAAACTGGGAGCATCACGCCCATCACAGGCCTATAGAAGGTTACAGTACGTACATTCAAATACTCGCATTTACGTGATAGACTGTTGTATTTGCGTGACAGCAGTCTATTTTTCGATTGGATGGAGGCCAGTTCGTATTCCACAACTGTTAAAATCACAAAACTGTTTTGAGTAAATTTTGTGGTACCCGCTAACCATGTCGTTGGTGTTTTCATTGATGGATTTATCTCTTCTATTAATAATAATAATAATAATAATAATAATAATAATATTAATAATATTAATATTAATAATAATAATATTTATATTAATATATATATAATATATAATAATATGTAAATCATATATTAATATTATATAGTAATAATATATAATAATATATAATATTAATAATATGTATATCATATATACATATATATATACATACACATATATATATATATTATATATATTATATATCATAATATATTATTATATATATTATATATATTATATTATTTATTATTAGTGTTCGAATAAAACTGAAGGACATGATGATACGAATCTGCAACCTCTCGCAGTCAAGGCGAGTGTCATAACAATTAGACCACAGATAGAGAGGCACTTCATCATGGTTGAACAGATTCAAATAACCGCCTGTTACTAAACAGTTCCATAGTAGTATTCCTAATTAATTATTAATCATTTCATTCCCATACAGAATATTTTCAGTACTGAATTTCTCCTGTAGGCCTAGTTAGTTCATGTTTACTGTTTCCATCGTTTTTTTTTTGTTTTTTTTTTTAAAATCTGAATCATCACTGTACAAACATAGCCCTTTAAAATCTTTGTTTCGTAGCAACGGGACGCTTGATAGCGTCTGTTCGTTGGGGGTGGCGTCGACTCCGCCCACTTTTGTGGATTGACTCAGCGTGTACCCTTCGACCTCAATAATAAACGAAGCTAGTTTCCTTCCGATCATCTCTTTGATAATGCTGACGCGTGGCCTGGAAAGTGTGTGGAACAGGTACAGTACCTGTTTTGGAGGTGGTGTTGATTGTCGATTTACTTGAAAGTCTAGGCTGCAAACCCAAAATAGGAGATACACAAGATAGCTGGTTCTATAATACTACGTGTATGACTGTTTTTTGGTGCTGAATTTTAGAATTAACGTCACATGAACGCTGTCGAGCTAGGCGAGGCTAGGAAGAAGTTCTTAACCGTCTTCTTCAACAACTATTGCCGTCAACAGGTTGTGTGTGGTCTGTGAAAAGAGCCTACCTAAAAAGTAGAGGCCTAGGCCTAGCCTGTGCTTAAACAACGTAGACCCTGCATAGCCCAGTACTACGGCATTTGCAGCAACTGGACATCTATTGGTCTGGCATATATACGGCAGACTTTGGCTGATTGGCTTCGCTTATATAGCGACATAGGCCTAAACCTATAATATTTGTTTATTGATTGGACATGTCTGCATCGAAATATGATGAACGATTGGAACGAGTGATCCAGGTAAGACTAAGAAGCTACTAGCTAGCCCTTCGGATTTATTAAATTAGGTAGGCCTAGGCCTACAAATTTAGATAAACCTGTGCGAACAACCTGCATAATATTTTGCTTTGCCAAATTACCCAACCAAGATGCACAGCAAGTTTACCGAGTGAACATTGCCCAGGAAGAATAGCCAGGCTGTTTTTCTTGTGTAGAATAAAGACTAGGCCTAACTAGAAATGTAGTTGAAGACGAATCGAACAGTCACAGAATGTGATTCGATTTTGTCTTTCCGAGCGCGTACTATACCGTATGAATAGCTGTATTTTTCAGAGAATGTTTGAAATTTTTGTGTTGTACTGCTGACCATGCATGAAAAAGAATTTATTTCAGAATGCCTATGTGAATGAATTTCATAAAAAAAAATCATGAATTAGACATTTCATCTAAGAATTTATTTTATGATGACCAAGTTCTAGTCATGCATGGCAAGAGGCAATTCATGAATTTATTGTCAAGCATTATGATTTATACTTTGGAATACATTTGGAATTTAAAAACGATTATACAATGTAACTTAACTTAAATTTTTAAATTTCAACAAACAAGTATAGGAATAAATAAAAAAAACAAGTATTTTATTAATTTGTAAAAAATTTTTATTTGTAGACCGATTAGTTATTTATTCTACAATGGTAAAGAGAGGCTGGGCTAAAATGATTTGGAAGACAAGCTGGTTTATTAAAGGTATATGGGCCTAGGCCTGGTCCTACAATGAGTCATGATTACTAGATTAAAGCAGGGAAAGTTTTTTTTCCCCTACCTTTAGTGTAGGCCCTGCAGTTGTTCAATTGTCTTTCTTGAAAGTAAGGGACCCTACGTTTGCAAGATGATGAATACTGTAGTGGAGGCATAATCCAAATACTGGATATTGTCGCGATTTTTAAAAAAATCTGGGAGTATTGATTGGTGGAGCTGGCTTGAACCTCCCTTAAAATTTATTCTCGCTATCTTTATATTGCACTACTGCACGGCATGTCGGAACAATTTCCAATTTCCTTATTTTTTGCATTTAATTGTCAAACTTCTCTTATGAATAATTTTCTCGTACCACCTCAGCAATGAATATTTGGAAAAATTAGAGTATGCTTCAAATTGTCAATCAAATTTTGAATGGGTGGGACATTGAATTACTATGATTATCAAACCACACCTCTTTAAAGCTACAAGCAATTATGTCAATATTTGCCAAGTGCTAACATTGATACTGTAGTGTGTGCATTACAGAGGTGTAGAGTCATGATACTCTACCTGTAGGTAGTTAGTGACACGTAAACCTTGTTTGTGCCATACTAGTATACTGTACAGCTGCTGCACTGAGAGCTAAATTTAAACATGGAAACACAAGAAAAGGTTGGAGTTAGCATTTTCTTTTCCTGTAGGATATAGTGTACTGTATGGAGCATTGCAGTGTAAAGTTTGTTTTTGAACTATTCTTTAGACATCAAATTCCATTCTGTTTTATAGTACCATCATTTAAGTTTACTGTATCTTACCTACAGAATCCTCAGTCTTCATGACAAACTGTAGTCTTTAGTGCACTCTTTTCAACCCGCCATGTCATTTTCAACATGTCTGGCCTCTTTCCATGGCTTTCATCCAAGATATACCTTTCATTTTAGTAGTTTAATGGGGGACTTTGTGGGGGGGGGGGAGGAGGCGAAATTTTTTGTGAAGCGTGTGTCGCGGTGCATTCCATAGATATAAACCTTTACCACTTTGTTGTTGAACTTAAATCTAATCAAGTTGTCCATAGCCATCCAACTTCTGTTTATTTCATACTGTAGGCCTATTATTGCAATTTAAAAAAAATCCAAACTCCATTTCATTTATTTAGTGTTAATTACATTTCATAAGCTACAGTAAGGCCAATTTATGGTAGCTGATTAAAAAAATGGCTGCTTGGTAGTTGTGAACTAATGCAACAGTAAATTAAATTCTTAATGTTTTTTGTTGATTCCCATAATCTATAACAATTGTACAGTACTGTAACATGTGAAACGCAAGCAAAACATGAACTTTATTCATGGTGAGCTGAACACACAGGGACAGATCTAACTGACACGTTGCATCATTATATATATTTACATACGTGTACAGTGTGTAGGGGATACACATTATTTGTCATAAACTCTTTTTACTTCCACAAGTCACAATCAAACACACAGGTAAAAAAACAGTGGAGCTGTGAAAGCTATTGGGATTAATCAACCTATTGAATTATATTTTACTGTACTTTGCTACAGTAGGTAGAAGTGTAATAAATGCTTATGTCTGCTGGCTGGCTACCATTTATTAAACTCCATTGCTGTCTAAAGAGAATAATTTGATGTTTATGGATCAACTGTCACTTCTTAAAAGTTCTCTTTTTGTGACAGGTGGTATTTCTAATTACCCACTTCCCCACAAGTTACAGCCCTCTGGTATAGTTTATTCTACTAATATAATTTCTATATTGTGTTAAAATTTTCCTAGTTTTTTTTTTATCGATCCATCTTTTATAGAAATTTTTTCTTTTGTTGATGAAATCATTAATTCTTTTGATTTGGTTCTTTTCATTTTGCTTCGTGTACAGAAATTGGAAGACACTGTTCTCTCCAATCCCGACGACGACCAAATTCCACCGGTGAAAGGCGAGGATAACAGCCCTACAAAGGTACCCGCAAGGATCCGTGAAATTATTACAAAGAATTTGTCAGCAGATGATCTCATCCCCTTGGACCACACCAACGGTACAGCGCCAAGCATGATGTCAATGCAAGAGGAGAATCGTATGCTACAGAATGAGCTAAGCCGTGTTGAGGATCTACTTGCAGGTAGCCGGGCTGAACGTGATGAGCTTGCTATTAAGTACCAGGCCCTTGCAGATAGAGTGAGTATCATTATCACTACTTCTGAATAACTCACACAGTGTTGTACGGTGCAGCCCTAGACAATGTATCATTGCATCCGGTCTGTGTGCATTAAATGCTGATGTGATGGATTTTCATATTATTTTTCATATTCCCGCAACGATCTACAGTAGTCCCTGGCAGAAAGTTGTGTTGGACTGTGTCATACGATGCTGTCTGAGTTGGTCTTTACTGTATCTTGTGTATTATTTATTTGTTTATTATTTATTTCTTTATTCTTTATACTGGGAAAACCTGTTCAGTAGATTCAACAGAATCATGAGTTTTAAAAAAACATTCACCATCTTTTAAAGACCACCTATGCAGCAGGGCCGCATCCAGAGAAAAATATGGCTATGCAATGTGCAAAGGACAGGGTGGGTGTGGGTGTGGTTTTTGAGAATTTTGTTTAAAGAATGCTCAACCATAGACACTGGTACAGTACATGGAATTTAAATCAAAAACTTGCTTGGAGGTACTGTGCTCCCCTCTCTCTTTTTTTTTTTTTTTTTGCTCCCTTTTTTTTTTGCTCCTGCACAATACCAAACTGTCCTCAATTTATTTCTGTAGTTTACTGACTTCAGCATCTGATGGGTGTTTATTTATATTTTTAAATGTAACTTCACCGTAACATACTTACTTAACAATCAATGGCATTCGGGTTCATTTAAATTCTCATTCATAAGCTCTACAGGTATGCACTGATGCTAGTAAGTTAGTTGACTTTGACCCCTCAAACAAACTTTCATTTCTATAGGGGGGCTATATTGGTGAATGAGGATAATCGCTCTATGTTTGAACAATGATAAATAAAGAAAGCGTTTATATACTTTAAATGCAATTCTTGGGACATTCAAACTGAACTTTACTGTACTACAGTATTGTTGACTTGAAATAAAGACAATTTTGTAAAACCTATTGTTCAATCCCTCCCAAAACTTCATTACTGTAAACCCCTTCCTTAACCAGTGAATGTCTTGTTCCCAAAAGCTTTTTTAAATACCATTTCAACACTGAAGTCAAACAATTTATGTACATTTCAATTTTTATATTTTATTATGCAAAAACATCAGATTGGCAAGATAAAAACTGAAAAAATAGAAGAAGCAAAACAAAAAGCAAAAATGATTTTGTAGTCATTCTTCATGTAGTTTTGCTTCGTAATTAACAAGTTTACTTTCAGTTGAAAACAGATTGAATGAATATTCATGATTCAAAATTGACAAGCATTTTCATGACAATGCCAAATGGAACATTTGAGTCATTATTTAGAAATAATAACCAATTTGCTTTTGAAGGTTTAGTATTAAATACATACAGTATACTGTTTCCATAGTTGTTTCAATATCATTACATTTTTTTAAAAACAAATTTCATTAAACCGAAAGGTTTCATTAAGTGGTTTGAAAGCGAAAGCAATCTGCACTGTATGAATATTTCATTAATGTCTAGTTCCATTAACAATAAAACAAAGTAGAGTAATTAGCTGAACAATTAGTATTGGTATTTTGTTTGCTACAAGAACAAAGGTTGTTAAAGAGAGATTATTTTTAGCATGTACTGTATTGTCTATCTTTGAACTGAGAAAAACCTCTTTGATGACACAGGCCATTCGATCTACTGTACAAATGGAATGCTCAAGCTTGTTCAATAGCATTGTCTGATTTGAAACTATTATTAGTTATTAGAAAATTCCCACAGTTAATGATTGCTTCCAGTGAGAACTTAACAGTACTGTATTCTAACTGAATTGAAATTCATGAAGATATGCTCCATAACACATGAACAACAACAAAGCAAAATTAGTATCTTTTGGAGCATTAGCAAACCATTATGGCAAAATTCTCAAGTTCAATTTCCAATCAATTTGGTAGGCCGGCCTATAGTTTAGAGGCATTCCACCAACATTATTCAACATCAAACTTTACAGCAGAAACACTCCAAAGAAGCCACATTTTCCTATTACCAAGCACTGCTTGTTTACAATTTATACCACAGATCTTGCAAGATAGCGTTCTCTTCAATTTCTGCGTGCAAATTCTGTTATAACGCAGTGTATGGCACCCTCTTGCAAAAGTGTTTACTATTCAATTTTGACCGCTTTGATCATAGTGTACACAGCGTGACTTTAACTTTACGTGTAACAATCAGAAGCGTAGATTTACAACGAGTCCTCTCTTTATGGAACAAAAATGTACTTGGTAACATACTTGGGTGTGAAGCGAACACCTTCCATGGCAACAACTAGGACGCACTATACTAAAAGTGATTAGTTTTCTGCCAGACTGACTCTTCTATTTGTTATGCGCAAATCACAGAGAACGGTATCTTGTGTTTATTATAAGATCTTTGATTTACTATACCCACTATACGTCACATGACCAACATACTGTGGTATAGTATACTATATACTGTATCGTACTGTGTGTGGCAGAGCCAAGCCAATGGAGTGATAAGTCGCACAGGCAGTTTTCTAATAAATGCACAAACGTGAAATCGGTCATTTTTTTCGTTTTTTTTTTTAACATACATATTAAACATTTAATTTTCATTCTACATTTAACTTTCTCTGATTTATAATCGATAAATGTTGTAAAAATGAATAGAGCTTGTCCTAGCGTACAGACATAAAATCTGGTTTTCAAAGCCAGTTTTCTCAAAATACACTTACACCAAGTATCCTAAATTTGATTGCCCATAACTTTGTCATAAACTATCATATCAAAGTGATTTTTTTTTTTCATTTTGAAGAAGATAATATCTACTTTCATAATATGTACAAAACTCAGTTTTGAAAATTTCGACATATCCCTCCTTTGGTCTGCCACATGTACCTATAGTATACTAGTGGAATCAGTGTATTATTATCCTGCAGGTTTCTTGTTAAAATAGCAATTTGTTCGTGAGGTTTTTATTTGTAATAAACCCATCCATTCTTTGACATAACTGCCAATTAATTTCATAATTAATAAAGTTTATTACGGCCACCGCCTTACTTGTAATCAACGCTTAAACTCTCACGTCTCAATTACTGTAATTGCCAGTACTGTATTCCCATGTTATTTCCGTATGATCTACATTCGCGTGGGGAAATTTTTAATGTGCAATTCGAAATAGTAATAAAACTCATCATTAAACACCATAACAACTTTTATTGTTTAGTTCCTTTTAGTGTTATCACATTCATCTTTTTTTCCAGTGCAGTTTCTGAAAAATGTAACTAGCAATTCAGATGCCACAAATGCAACACATTATTATGCTTCAGTTTCACATTTAGTTTTTCAAATACATCTTTCTTTAACTATTCTAACATGAAGTAGAACAAATTCTCACAATCTCACTAAGCAATTGGATTGTAGAACCAAGTCTTCTCGGGTAAGGACTTTAAATGAAGGTACTGTACAGAGTACACACCTGGCTTGTGTGCACTTTAAAGAACTTATTGCATCTTTCAGAAGAGTAGGGGGTTTCTGTACCCTACTACCCTGATGCTATTTCTCATTTTACCCCCTATGATTTTGGAATGATGTCAACTTGAAGCTACTATATATAATAAGTGTTTTCTATGGCTGCTAGGTACAGTAGTGATGAACAACGTCCATGCGCAATTCAGCTCGTTGACGCTGCAAGTTATGTTTTATTCTATAGTACAGTACCTTTATAATATACCTACAGTACCTTTAGATTTGAGTGTTTAGCGCCACAATGCCCCAGTGTGTCAAATTGCTCAAAATACTTGGAAAGATTCAGATAGAAAGATACAAGATTTTTTGCGAAGTACATTAACTGCTGTAACAAAGCAGTAACCTGTAGAAAAAGTGTCTTCTAATAAATCATGTGGTGGACAATAGGATGTCAATAGGGAAAGTGCTGTACTATGTAAGTTCACATTACTTGTATAGTACTGTACATTATAATTGCAAGCATTAGCCTGATTACAGGAAAGCATATCATAAATCATGGAAATTCCCAAAGAAATTATACAAAATAGAATGCCTCATTTATAATTGATCAAATAGTTTTTTTTGCTTTCATTTACAAATTAAAACAGATTATTTGCTAATTCAAATTGATTGCTAGCCAATTAAGTGTCTACATTTTTCAAGGAACCGAGCCTATTGTTACTTGATATGAAATAAGTTTTCTCTTTCTAAGACTTTTTTTTATACATTGTTTACCAAACCTGTCACCCACCAATAATAATGATAATTTTGAATAAAAAAAACATTATTTTTGGCCAATTAGCGCTCCCGGTGCCATGCAAGTTTTTCTTTATTTTTATTATGCCCGCCACTGCCTTGAAATCTCCAAAAAAATATTAAACATATAAATTCCTTCCTAATTATATAATTTAAAGCATTGTCATTCCATTACTACATTGTTTACATTCACCAATAAAGTGTTATTTTTTTTTCTCCTCCGCCTGGATATTTTTGCCAAAACTATTTCCTAAATAAGAAAACTAAATTTTATTTTAATTTTATTTTTTGCCCTCCTCTGATGATCTATTAAAAAAATATATTTGCGAAACCAGTTATAAAAAAGTGTCGCCTAAAAAAACTTTTTATTAATATAAGATCTTTTGTAAAAACAAAGATATTAAAGTGCACGTTGCATTGGTGACAACCGTGACTGTATTGCGTTCTCAGCACAACGTAGACTTAGACCCAACTGCATCCTATCATCCGGGCGGCGAGAACTCCACATGCGCAAATGATGACTTTCTGATGTCATTACGTTTTACGTCCTGCTGTACCATTGCTGCGCAATCAAAAGCTCCCAAATAATTTGTCTTGAACTTGACGAAAGAGCGTCTTTTGTCCATCTATACTTCTTTTATGAGACAGGATATTGAGTTGATATCAGGAAGGAACTGCCTACTGTTGAGCTAGGAATTGTTACGCCTCAATGCACTCTTGGATGTTCCGTCCTCTTTGTCTTTTATTGATCATAATACTAATTATTTGATTGATTCAATTAT